GCAGGAACATTTACGGGCGGAGGCGGAGGAGGAGGGGGTGGGGAAGGGGGTGGGGGCATTTTCGACAAAACTGAGGAGAGGAAGAGGATGATCGCCTCTCCCCTACTGGTTATTTTCTGAAAGACGTTCAAACACAAGGCCGCCTCAAGAAGGCGAGCAAATGCAGCATAAGCTTCAGCCCTTTCTGAAAGGTCTATTGCTGCATTTTATCCCACTTTACTCCACGTAGAGTTCTAACGATAACAGCATGAGAGGAAGCAAGTCTTTGCCATCCTGCCTCCTTGTCCGCTGAAGCTGACGATAACTATGGGTGGCTGTGTAGTTGCTGGATACTAATTGCCTATTTTTAAATGTCGTTTTAATGCCCTCATTGCAAAACAAGAGAAAGGAACCGACAAGTGGAGAGTTAGATGTTGCTGGGCTTGCGCTTACCTCCAGCAGTTGAACGAGAAACTTCCGCGACTGACGTACGCTCTTCTCTGTCCCCCATACAGGATTCACAACTGGGAATGAAATGCCATCCTGCAAAGTAACAGAAAGCGAGAAAATACGAGTTAGAAAGCAAAAGATTGAATTAACGTGTTTATAGCAATGGCTTTCAGTATATCATTCCTGTCTCACAAGCTCGAAGGTGAGCTTCGAAGAAGCATCGACGACAGCTTTCATCTTTTTCGACAAACTTTCAACGTATTCTCTGCCGATTTCTGCGTCGACTTTCTTTTCAACCGCCTTCTCTTCGGGCGGATTCTCCGCAGAGTTCTTCGCGAAACGAACAAACGAGTCCTTCTTCCCCTCCAGGGATTTCAATATCTGAAAGGCCGGCAGACACACCATACGTGATAACCATATGCACTCATTCCAAATATATCTCTAGTTAACATAAGCGCCAAATGCATCTGAAATAACCTACACCTGTGCAATACGGCGAAAGAAAGAAACGAAACGAACGGAATACTAAGGGAACACCTTCAACGGTGGTATGGTTATAAATAAAAAGTTAACCGATTCGTTGGAAGTTTAGGCTTCATTCAAACGCACCTGGTTTGCCGATACCAAGAGAGAATTTTTCGTCTCAGTTGCAGCAGCGATGATCTGCATGCAATGAAGGGGAAACAGAGAGTGTGTTCATGCTTAATATTATCAATTAATGGCAGTTTACAAGAATGCACATTAACCTAATGTTACACATAAGGCAGGAAACGGAAGAGGGAATTTAGCCAAGATACGTCTTTCTTGCTCATCACATTCATTACCTGAGGATGCGTTGAGTCAAGAAGCACAAGGGTCAACACCTCCTCATCGTCTATTTGTGAAAGATCGGGGACCTCCATTGTCTGCCGTGATTATAAAAAGGAGAAATTAAAGAAGGCAGCGGTCTAACTGAAGGAAACAGAGGACGTGCAGAGTTAAAGGGGATGATCTATATAAGACTCCGTTGCAGTCGCTAAAGAGAGAAGAGTGAACATTCAATTCCCACAGATTTTGGAGAAGGATTATGGAGGATTATGGAGAATATCGGAGCCTTAAGGTGTGCTGTTGTAGTTGACAAGGGAGATGGCAAGCCGTACGGCCTTGAATGCAAATAGTAAGGGGGAAAAGGGGGGAAAACAGAGAAGGAAAATCAATCAAAACAAATAGCGCCCCAATCACAATGTGATCAAGACGCTTAGAAAGAATCGCCAAGCGGAACGTTCCTCAGGGTGATGGAGCAAGAAATCATATCGAATTATTCTTTGTTTCCCTCTAACCAAACAACAACTGTAAGGCAAACAAACGCTCTCCTTCAGTTGTTGATGGGGGCGGCACAAATGGCCTTCGGCGAGTCACCGATTGATTTGCCGTCTTACGAGGGCACTTTAAAAACAAAGTTAATAATCAAAAATAGATTATGCGTGTCTTCAGAAACAGATTTGTGTATATAACGTGCATATATGTATTCAAAATGAAGGAAGGGCCCCGCCGCTGTGGCCGATAAGAAAACATAGACTGGGAGGAAGGGGGCCTTCCCGAAAGTGAAAAGGACGATAATTAGAAACAATGAAAGAAGTCCTTCTTCAATATGAACATAAAAAAGAGAATGCTCCCCATTTCAAGGCCTAGAAACCTTCTAAGTTGCCCGGGTCGTTTCCCCAGCCCCAAGAGTAGAGCGCGAAGCGTCGGTCCTACCTTTCGCGGGAGACGAAAACGTATTTGCAGACAAAAATGAGAAAATAAATGCAAAATAGTAAATAACATGTAAAGAAAAGAGGAACAGAGGCAGTGGACAAGACGCCGACCTCCCCTTGAAGGGGCTGAACTCGCGGAAACGCACGTGAGGCACTAAGCAAATGAGTTCAACCCAACCAACTAGTACAATTTTTAGTCAATTAATATACTTTCGCAAGTGGATTTTTGGGGTAAACCCATTTGCTCTTGAGCCAGTTAGAGTTAATTGTTTGCCTGCGATATAAACAAGTATTTCCTGTGCAAGCGGTGCATATCCCTGCCTTTTATTACTGCACGGCGATTCAACGCCGACCGCACTTTTGCTGTTTTTTATTGAGCCTCTCTGTGCATAACTCGGAGAATCCACATGAACACATGTGAAAACTAACTATACCAAAAACACCAGCACGAATAGCGAAAATGTACAAAACTTGATCAACGGGTTTTATGTAGCCTGATGCTGAGTTACTTGTATTTGTACCTAAAAGATATTATCCACCTTATTTATGAAACATTTGCCTGAAGAACGTCTTACAAATTGCATAGTTGAAGATATGCGTCATGTGCCCAAGAAATCGTGTACAGACAGCATTCAAGCAGTGGATGATCTGTGCGCTTCGCGATTGCTTTCGCATACTTCAGGAAAAAAAGAGGCTAACCGATAGGCTTTTTGGTCTTTTTTTCATTTACGTATCAATTATTCTTTAAAATGGCGACTCTTGGGGAAAGCAAATCCGCCCGTAAACACGCCGGGACCGTACCGGTTCTAGCGCCTGATCTGAGTGACAACAGTGATGAGCATTTCATCGCGATAGTGGGTCGATCATGTCTCCCTTTATTTTATCCATTGCTTCAATCCTAGTGCAGGACAAACTCCAAAATGTCGGCGTTAACGCGTCCGATATTGCCAAGCTGAGAGCTGCCGGTTATTGCACGGTTTTATCAGTGATCCAGACGACCGTAAGCAGAAACGCGTCGATTTTACGTCATTTTCATCACTAGTAATGTGTCAGAAAAAAGATTTGGCGCTTGTTAAAGGGCTTTCAGAGGCGAAAGTTGAAAAGATCGTTGAAGCCGCGATGAAGTTGGAGTTGTGCAATTCTTTCATCAGCGGTGGCGAACTGATAAACCGGCGAGCCAAAGTGGTGAAAATAACGACAGGTCCGTTTCTTTCTTAGTACAAAAGCAAGTTTAAATGAAAAAAAGCCCTCACCTTGCGTTGTACTCAATCCACCACCAACAATTAGTTATTAATTTCCCTTGTCCTTGCATAGGGGCACCACAACTTGATCAATTGCTAGGAGGAGGCATTGAAAGCATGTCTATAACCGAAATCTTCGGAGAAAATCGTTGCGGCAAAACGCAAATATGCCACACACTGTGTGTGACAGCTCAGTTGCCTCGGGAGATGGGCGGTGGCTGTGGGAAGGCAAGTATTGTTGTTTGTGTTTCCTCCTACTGCTGTATCAAGAAGATGCACTTGTATGGGGGCTTGTTCAGGTTTGCTATATAGACACAGAGGCGACATTTCGGCCAGAGAAAATTTGTCTGATTGCTGAAAGATTCGGATTAGATGGTGCAGGAGTTCTTGATAATATTATGTATGCTCGTGCTTACACAACAGAGCACATGCACCAGCTATTTACGGTCGCTGCAGCAAAGGTTCGTCTTAATCAACTCTGTTAATTGAATTTAATAAACAATAATGTTGATTTAAATTTGTTCTTCCTTCGATTCCATTGTTAAATTATTTCTCATTTTCTCCATTTTTTCAGATGAGCGAGGAGAAATTCGGTGAGCATTTCAAGGTCTTGAGAGGGAGAATTCTGTTCCTTTTCCTATACATTAATTGTTTTAATTTTTCATGAATTATTAACTGCTGTGTTTCCTTTTTAGCTCTTCTTCTCGTTGACTCCATAATGGCGCTGTTTCGAGTCGATTACAGCGGCAGAGGCGAACTGGCAGACAGACAGCAAAAGTTGAATAAAATGCTCAGCAGTTTAACGAAGATGTCAGAGCAATACAACATAGCAGTTGTCTTAACAAATCAAGTCATGTGCGTCTCTAGCAAACACCACCCCACATCTAAATATGCCATCTATATTATAGATACTAAAAACAGTATTCCTCCCGTTTGCTCTTTTATCCTCTCCTTTATCCTTTTATCAATCAATTTATTCATTATCCTTTCCTAATCTCAGGTCAGACCCTGGAGGTGGACTGACGTTCGTTGCAAATCCGACCAAGCCGAGTAAGTCCTTGCACGTTTGCGATAAACCCAGGAGAAGCCTGGATTTGTAAATTGTATTAAACACAAGATAATTCCCTAGTTTTAACTTGATAAAAATATTAATTTAATTCATTCGCTAATTTTCCTGGATTTTTGTACGCCAAGTCGGAGGACATGTGCTCGGCCATGCATCCACCACTCGACTGTCACTGCGGAAGGGCAAAGGGGACCAGCGGATATGCAAGGTGTACGATGCCCCCAATTTGGCGGAATCTGAGTGCATATTTCAACTGTAAGCACTTTAAAAACAATAAACAATTAAAGCCTAAATAATAGTAAAAACAATCGCAAAAAAAATAACGAGCATAACTATGCCAACTTTCCTCAGGACTGCACAAGGCATCACAGATGCAGCGGAGTGACCATTGGCCCATTTGCCGGTCTTCAATCTTAATTCGTTTAATTTGAACAATTGTTTATTTCCGGTGTCTCTTTGTTTAGATTACACCAGACTGTTGTATAACGTCTTAATTTGATGATATATAATCTAGCGCCTTGCGCACCTCGTGTGTGTTAACAAATAAACATATTTACTCACAGAATAAACATATATTTGCACTAGAAAAGTATTCAAATGTACATAAATATAGTTGCTCACGGAATGCATATATATTTACATTACATAAGTATGCATATGCACATATTGGTTCCGTGTAGATGGGATCTCCGACGTATGCTGCTGCTGTGCCTGCTACGATCAACTTCTTTACACCTTCTCCCCCTCAAGTCCTTGCTTAAATATTAAAAAAAGTATAAATAGCAACTCCCATTTGAGCATTCGTGCAATTAGGTGTGCAACTTTTGACCGAAGCGATGTGTAGAGGAGAGGCTGACCGAAGACTCAACAATTTCCTTCTGGAAGGCAGATCACTGTGAACATGTGACTAGGCATATATAATATATTATATATAATTTATATTCATCAAGATTATTAGGGTGATAATCTCACTCACTAGCGGGTGCTGTACTTGCTGCTGCAACGAAAGCTGCAGCAGAAGTACAACAGCAGCAGCAGGTGCACATAGGAAAAGGCGGTGAACTGCTGCAGCAGCAGCGGCTGTTGAGAGTGAGTAGGAAGTGTCAGAGAATTGTCAGTTTAACTAACAGCAACACGGAGAACGTGTTTTCAATCTGCATGCTAGCACCATCAACAGCAGCAAGCTGTGCAGCAGGGAGCTGTGGGGTAGGCCTTGTTGGCCAAAGGCTTCCGTAGGGAGCTGCCGGGCTACAAAGAAATACAAGCACGCTGCTTTTAGCTGCTGCTGCTGCTGCATCAACAAAAACAAGGAGCACAATAAATAGAAGCAAATACGTGCAAAGCATCGCCGATTTAGCTCAGTCGGTAGAGCGCCAGCCTTTTAAGCTGGTGGTCGCGGGTTCGAGCCCCGTAGTCGGCTCTTGCTGTAATCGTTTTCCTCTGCTACCTTTCTACGCTGTATAACCTAATACCACTATTTTTAATTACTATTCATGTAGATTGCTTTCTTTGTGACGGTTACCTTGTATATATATATTGTATTCGCTTGTATGCACACACATACATATTGCTTTGCACGGTACAGCCGTCCGTTTGCAGGTAGAGGCATAACTCCTACTGAAATATAAAAATTTATTGAGAGGACAGGATCGCCTCGGGTGTAACAAAGTAACCGCTACGCTACAAGAAGCAAAAAATCTAAGAGTAGTTCTAATTATAAATAATGTACAAAGTACATCCGCGTGCATGCAGCAGAGGCGTCAAGTACTATATACTCTAAATATTCCAATATAATTTATAATGGCGTTATAAATTTATTTAGAGGTAAAGCTAAGGGAATTATATTATTATTTACTTTTTTGTAGCTGACGGAGAATAGGAATTAATTTAGGCAAAAGTGCTGCATTATTATATGGATAAATTGAAATAAACTGAAGATATTAAACGGGAACCGGAAGATTTTGTTTAGTTAAGAGATAATAAAAGGGACAAAAAGGCAAAAAGACAAGCAAAAACAATATCTATCCCTTGAGGTGTATGTACACTTCAATCTCTTTGAATAGAAAACAAAAGAAAGCAAGCAAGGACATGTGCCTCCCCATTATAATTATTTTTAATTTTTTCTTTTTTTAAGACTTTAATAAATGACCTCTACTAACGAATTTGTTAACTGCATGCAAACAAAGGGAAATATTTGGGGATTTATACACCTTCACCTTTTTTTTTCCTTATGTATAAAGGCCTGTCTGCCTGTTACAATTAATTATATGTATATATACACCTAACAATAACAGACTTTATTTAAAAAGTAATTCATCTAAATAAATTATTTACTTCTTTCCCTTCGCTGCTCCCTTGCCATCACGCCATTCTTTGCTTCCTAATACTGCAACAAAAAGAAACAAAAACAGCAACAAAAAAATACTAGATGCAATCCCCTAACTATAACTAGTAAGAAATTATAAAGGATTTATACACATCTATATTATATATATTATAAATAATACATATTATATACTATATAATAATAAATATATAATATTTATTTATTATCTTACCTGTGCAGTTAACACCCAATTGGCACCATATCTCTTGGTCTCCAACCTTAATAGCAACTTTGCTTCCATGGAACCTATTAAGAAATAAATAAAAAAATAAACAAATAAATAAAATAAAATAAAATATATCAATATATATCCCTCCTCTTCTCTTATTATATATTAAATAGACTATATTTATTACCCTAATATATACATGCATATATATTTATTTATTTATTTATTTATTTATTCTTCTTACCATCCACAGGATCCACTGCTGAATGTTCTTGGCTTCATCTCGAATTGAACGTCGCCAATCTTCGAGGCTAAGACAGGAGCCTTCTCTAAGAACGTAGACTTAGCCATCATTGTTGCTGAGGAATAAAAGAAGAAAGAGAAAAAGGAGGAAAAATAAAAACAAATAAGACAACAGAAGATGATGATATATAATAAGGAAGGATTAAGCAAACAAATTAAGAAAAGAAATGCATAATTTAAATATATATATTTATTATACAAAATAAAAGAAATATGCAAATATCTAACTATATATATACATAGGTAGGTAGCTAGCTAGCTATCTAGCTATACATAGCTAGCTATTATTATATTAAATGGCATAAATAAATAAAACAAAATGCAATTAAAAAGGGAAAAGGCAAAAGAAGAAAAAAAAAGAAAAAAGAAATATACATATATATTTTTTTTTCTTCTTTTTTCTTACATTGAAGCTTTTTAAGATTCTTAGGTGGTCCATTTCCTGTTTTTTGTTTTTTGCTTGGTTGTTCAGATTCTTCATCATCATAGCTCTCGTCTCCGTCTTCTTCTTCCTCCTAAGGTAGTATATATACAGAAAAAAAAAAGAAATAATAATTCATTTATTTTATTATATAGAGATTATTAGATAATTATATATATGTATTCAAGTTTACAGACAAGAAAAAGACAAAAAAAATACAACATATACTTGTGTGTCCCATTAAACCCTTTTAGGGTTTAGGGTTTAGCGGTGTATATATATGCATGCAGTCAATGAATATACACACAATAGGGAAGGATAAACATAACTGATGAGGAGAACTGGAAAAAGTGCAGCAGCAGCAGCAGACAGACAGACGGACAGACAGAAGAAGTAGAGACCAGCAGCAGACACAAACTCAAGAGGAAGAAGAGGAGGCAGTATATTCAATGGTCAAATAAATATATAAATAAGGGGAGGAAAAAAAAAATAAACTCGTACAGATTCTTCCTCTTCTCCATCCTCATTAAGTTCTTCAACAATTTTGTCAATAATTTCATTTATTTCTTTCTTATGATCCTTTAGACTGTCCGTCTTTAGACCCATCTTTTCCTCTAATTTCTCTCTTGCTGCCTTCCTGCTCATATCCTTCCATGTCTCTGCTGTAATAACTTCTCTGTATAAAAAAAAGAAAAAGGAACAAAAAACACAAAAAATACAATGAATTCATGTACATACACCCCATTATACCCATGGGAAGGGGAAGATTCAATAAACAACATTGGACAGGAAGACGGAAGAGGAGGAAGAGGATGCAAAGTATAACAAGTATAACGATGACTTCTATTCATATAAGGAGTAAAAGATGCAAAATGGCAAAGAAAAAACACAAGAAGAGGGGCAAATAAGCGAATAGGGAAGAAGAAATCGAAAGGATGATTATGTACAAAATGAAGGAGGGGGAAGGAAGACGGTAACCAATGAATTGACATACCTGAGGTGTTCCTCAGCCTTCACTGCGTCCAAAGTGGCCTTCTCAACCATTTTCAACGTAAAAGAAGAAAAAAAAACGTGAAAAAAAGGAGGAAAGGGGTGAAAGGAATTGAACCGTTGAAGGAGGGGAAAGGAGAGGAAAGGGGGCAGAGAAGGCCCCACAGGCAAAAAAAGAGTTCAGGGATTTATTTAAAAAGAAAAATGTATGGTTGTATATTTAACTACGCAAAAAAATACATTTAAATGTGGCACAATCGGCGGCGTGTAGGAGCTGGGACTGTTTGTGTGCCGATTCTGAGCTGTACGTACAGCCCAAGAGGAGGTGGTGAAATGCGTGCAGTTCAAATAGACGAACTTGCTACTTTTTCTTGTTTTTCCCTGTTATATTTGAATTATTTTGATTATATTTTAATATTACATGCTATTAAGTATTTCTTTTTATTTAGTTTTCTATTGATAGACGCATTCCCTGACACGTTCTATATTATATACACCACAGGTTCGTTGTTGGTGTGGATGCCCCCACAATTACGCCACAGTATTTCCGATTATTTCCTCGATTTTCTTTATTTAATTCATTTCTTTTGTATTGAAACTCAACTTTTCTTTTTAAAATCAATACTTCTAACCATCTGCACCCCACAGTAGTTCGCTCTCGAGCAAGAACCCTACGTCGATGGGTGGGCGACCGCCTACGAGTATTTGTAGGCAATTAACGCGAAAGGAGTTCATTAATAGTGGTGCATTCAGGTGTATATACACCCCATTTAATTACTATTCTAACACTATTAATATTCCTTCACTTTTAAGGGGAGGATATAAACATGGGCTGTGTCAACAGCAGCAACGATCGGTCGCCTCCTACTACACAACTCCTCATTGGCTGCAAGACTTAGAAAAATGTAAAGGAGAAAACGTACAAAATAATGGGTTAGACTCAGCAGCAGCAGCAGCAACAGGAGCAGCAACAGCAGCAACAGTAGGAGATGGTGACGGTCTATCTTCTGCTGCTGGCTTTGCTGGCTTATCAGCAACAGGTGACACAACTCTTCCTCCTATACAAGAAATAAATGATGAATATACAGCAATAAATAAAGAAAAGGAGAATAATGAGGTGCCTATACACTCGAGACATCATCCCCTTGTTAAGCATTTCCTTAAACTAAAAGGAAGGAGGAAATACAGGCAAGTAAATATAATATAATTTATTTATCCTTTTGTGTCTTTTCTTTCTTTATTATTTACCTCTTGTATATTAGTGTATTATTGTTGTTACTATATCTATTAATAACAATTCTTATTAGTGTTGCTATATATATACACACATACACATATATACACAATATTTTTAATGTTTACTTATTAATTTATTTGTTTTTTTTTTTGCCTTAGGGCTGCATGCGGACAAATGGTGGCAATTGGTGTAGAAACTATTAAGGAAATTTGTTATGGTAATCCTTTAAAGAATAAAGAAGAAGGAGAAAAAGAAGAAATAAATAATAATAATACTACTACTAATAATAATAATGTAAATAAAGAAAAAGATGATAATATAGAGGAAAGAAATATAAAAATAAAGCCAATGTTAATAATTCATGATAATAATATTCCTCTTTCTTATTGGGGTGTACGTACACCTCAAGATATAAAATGTATTTCTGCAACAAAAGAAATAATGGATATTATTTGTGAAAGAAAATCCAATTATAATTTTTCTTCTTCTTTTTCTTCTTCTCCTTCTTCTTCTTTATCTTCTTCTTCTTCTTTTCCTTCTTCTTTTTTTTCTTCTTTTTCTTCTTATAAATTAAATAAAACAAAGAAGAATAATATTCATCTTTCTGCTGCTGCTATCTTTAAGACACCAACACCATCTAAATCATTCAATACACCAAAGTAAGAAGAAAGTCTAAACCCTAAACCCTAAACCCTAAACCCTAAACCCTTCTTTAAGGTAAAAAGGAAATTATTAACCCTAAACCCTAAACCCTAATATTTGATTGAAGTCTTCTTTTTTTTCTTCTTTTTCTTCTTTGTACACCTAATCAATGTAACTAGGCAATTTCCTTATAAATAAAATAAATAAACAAAATAAAATAAATAAATAAATAAATGAATAAATAAGGAGTATATGTTATATATATTTGTGTGTATTATACTGTTAGGTTTGTCTTAGTATTAGATCGTGTACGTTATCCATGTAACATGGGTTTATTATTACGTTCTTCTTCTTTATTAAATATTAATTTTATTTATTTTATTAAAGGAACTGCAGACCCTTTTAATTGGAAAACTCTTGTAAGAAATTACTGCAGCAGCAGCAGCAGCAGCAGCAGCAGTAGCAGGAGCAGGAGCAACAGCAGCAACAGCAGCAGGAACAAGAGAAGCATTAAATATTTATGTTGTATGTATGCAGGAAATAAGCGGAGGATATAATCTATCTATACCTTATTATGTTGGTGATTATTCTTCTCTTTTTTCTTTTTGTATAAAATATAACCTTGCTCTCGTTGCTGCAGATATTAAGGGAAATGATCTCAATTATCTAAAGGGTAACTTTTATTCTTTTATTTTTTTTATTCTTTTTTTATTTTTTTTCTCTTCTTTTTCTTCCTTTTTACTCTTTTTTTATTCTCAAGAAAATATATTTTTTGTCCTTTTTATTAACATCCTTTTTTTTTTAATATATACATATGTATAATGTATATGTATATGTATAAATATCCTTGTGCATGCATTTATGTATTTATTTCTTTTATTTTTTCTCCTTTTTTTTGTTTATTTGTAGATAAAATGGAGGAAAAGAAGTACCAAGGTATTTGTCTTGTCTTAGGCAGCGAATCTCATGGACCTTCAGATACACTTCTGCAACAATCAATAAAGTACATTAATTCCCCTTTTTTTTTTATTTATTATTTTATTTGTTTATTAGTTCTCTTTTTTATTTATTATTTTATTTGTATATTATTGCTTATTTAAGTATATCTATCTGTCTATCTATATATACCCTTTTTTATTTCCTTTTAATAGCATCTTTTTTTCCTGTTTGTTTGCTGTTTTTTTCTCCTTTTTATTTATTAATTATAGGATTTCTTTCCCTATGGCGGCATACATTGAATCTCTTAATGTTGGCGTTGCTGGCGGGTTGGCGATTTCTTCTTTGCGGCAATTTTTGCCTAAAGATGAATAATTAATAAATTAATAAAAAATAATTAAAAATTATTTACAAGGAATAAAAGGGATAAATAGGGGAAAAATAATTAATATATAGCAAAAAAGGTTTAATGCTTAGTTATAAGCAATAATACTTTTTTTTTTTTAGTTTTTTCTTTATAGGCACCGTATCCTTACTGCTGCGGCGAACGCAGCTATTTATTGTTTATTTAATTAAAAAAAAAACATTTTTTTTTCTATTTCTTTTGTACAGTAATTTTTTATTTGTTGCCAAATTGTGTACTTATTAACAAGACAAACAACGATACAATAACAAGCAGAATGTATACTCGAGTGTATATACACCTCATTTTCCTTTACTCGTAGAAAGAAACACTTTTATTGCTATTGTACAATTCCTTATAAAATAATAAAGAAGGGAAAAGATATTTAATTATTGAGGAAACAATAAACAAAGTATGCAACAAGGACAGATAAATTATTAAATAGATTGGTAAATAGAGTTTATGCAGAGTTCATACAAATATAAAGAAAAGGAAAAGAGAAAAAGCTAAAGAAATACATTAGTTGTATATATTAAGTAAATACATTTTTTGTTTTAATTAATCAGAAACAGCGGCACCAATGGGCAACAAGGAGAACAGTTACACATATGCATATATTTATGTATGCTAATACATATATTGGCAATGTTTTTAGTTCAATCTCCACATTTGTTTCCTCTAAGGAAGAAGAAATGAATTAAAAAAACTAAATAAAGAAATAAAATTGTCTTTTCCCCTTCACTATATGGAGGAGGGCGTATGTGCAGTATTTATAATTAAATTAATAATTTAATTACATATTTATTTATTTATTTATTTATTTATGGTTTTTGGGGTGTATGTACACCCTGCGCCGGCGGCAGAACCCGCAACAACCGACCTATGCCCATAGAAATGCCCATTATAAGCCACTAACAATGTAATGAATATTTATTTAATTATTAATTTAATTATTTATTTAATTATTTATTTAATAAAATATTTAATGATTTATTTTATCCTTCGTCTTCTGTATTTTGTCTTGTAAGTAACCTTTTAGGTAAAGGTTTCCCATAATTTTTTGCATCTTCTGCAACAAGAGCAACAAGTCTTTCTATACTTCTTGATGCATGCGCACATAATAATGATTTAGGGTGTACAGACACCTCAGGTGTATTATTAATTAATTCTTCTTTATTCTTTTTTCCTTCATTACTATCATTAAACTTTTCCCTTTTTTCTCCTGTTAATGCCGATAGTTCATCTTCACGACGAGTTTCCGGTGTACGTACACAAGAAATTATCCCCTCGTCGTCGCTGTTGCTGCTGCTGCTGCTTCTGCTGCTGCTTCTACCTGATAAAGAAAAACCTGCAGGTCGTTTTGCCGTCTCCTCGAGCTCGGAGTCTTTCCCCTTTGTATCTATCGCATCAGCAGCAGCAGCAGCAGCAACAGCAGCAGCAGTAGAGAGAGCCTCAGTGTTTGGTTCTTGTTCTCCTTGTTGCTTGTTATCTCCTGCATCTGCTGCTGTAACTGTTGCTGCATCTGCTGCTGTATCTGCTGCTGCATCTGCTGCTGCAGTGCGCTGCGGCCTATAAGGCTTTCCATAGCGAGCAGCAATATCGATGCTGCTTAGTTGCATCTTCTTTGCTGCTGTTAGCTGCCCTCTTGTTGCTGCTGCTGCTCTTCCTTCTTCATTATCTACGGGTTCCTCAGGCTGCTGCTGCTGCTGCTGCTGCTCTTGCTGCTTCTCTTGCTGCTTCTCTTGCTGCTGCTCTTGCTGCTGTTCCGGTTGCTGCTGCTCTTGCTGCTGTACCGGTTGCTGCTGCTCCTGCGTTTGCTGCCCCCGCTGCTCTTGTTCCTGTCCTGATTGTTGTCTTGGTTGCTGTTTTTCTTCATGGTGGTGTTGCAGTTTCTGGCCCTGCTGCTGTTGCTGTTTCTGCTGTTGCTGCTGTTGTTGCTGCTGTTGCTGTTGCTGCTGCTGCTGGCGCAGCCTCAGTGGTTGTTTTTGCTGCTGCTGCTGCTGCTGCTGCTGGTCTCGTGAGTGTGCATTGTGTATCTGCCGCTCGAAGAAACTCCTAAGTTGAGAAACCCTCGATGGTAACCTTTGGGTCTGCTGCTGCTGCTGCTCCTGCTGCTGCTGCTCCTGCTGCCCTGTTATATCTGCTGCATTAAATGCCTTTCTTGTACGAAAAGATATATCACCTTCGGATACGCGTCTCCTCTGAGGTGTACATACACCTGGATATGATGTATTAGAAGAGGAGGGGTCTTTAAATAGTTTATCTAAACACAAGACACAGACGGATTAGTACTGCAGCAAATGCAGCAGCAGCAGCAGCAGCAGCAGCAGCAGCAGCAGCAGCAGCAGCAGCAGCAGCAAGAACTATGGGGGAGCAGTACGCAGCAAAAGCAGCAGAAGATGAAGGAGATTCAACTTACCCTCTCCATACACCCGAGTTGAAAATCGGAGTTTTTGCCTTCTTTGCAGATCTGCATGCAATTCCTCTTCTCTTTCTGTTTGTTTATTCTCCTCTTTTTCTTCTTTTTCTTCTTTTTCTTGGGTGTTAACACCACTTAATAAAGTGTCTTCTCCTTCCTTTGTAGGAACAGCAGCAGCTGGTGATGCTGCAGCAGCAACAGCAGCAGCTGGTGCAGCAGAAGCTGGTGGTGGAGTTTGTAATTCATCTTTGTCTTGCACAGCCGACTCGCGTCCTTCTTCCCTTTCCTCCATAGAATCGGGTGAGGGGAATTCAACCTTTATATTCCCCAACTTCGGGTCGCATGCAGTTGATAATCCTTCTGCACACTTTGAAAAAGGAATATTTGGCATTTGAATTCAATGGAGAACTGAATGGTTGACTTCCTTAGCCGCTGCCGAAATGGTGTTCGCTCTAGTGCGTCACTGCGGTCGACGGGGGGAACTGGCGGCAAATAAAGGCGAATAAGGGTTTTTTTGGTGTTAACAACAGAAATAACATCAAATTATATCCGAAAATTGCAATTTTAACGGCAGGAAATACCCAACAGCGAGGGGAAGAGAAGACGCCATCGGGCAAATCCGCAGGGAAGTCGGCAGTTGCGATGATGTAACGAATAATGACAGAACGGCATAAATAAACAAAGACATGAAAAATACCTAATTATACATAAACGAAGCCTATTTATAATGAGATCGCAAGCCTTTTCCATTTAAACGAGCGGACTTTTGTATAAATATAGTGGAGGATCTCCGGTGTGTACATACACCACACGCATGCGCGGTAGTTATGATGACTCGACTACGACAATGCAAAGGAAAGCTGTGAAATTCTCTATTTTTTGACAATGTTTCATCAATTAAAGTGCCTTTTAAGCTCTCCTCGTGAATTATGTATGATTTATGTGTGCGAATATGCGGATTCCTTTAGTACATTTGCCTTAGATTACGTGTTCGTGTTATACTTAAGCATGTGTTTCGGCTTGAGCGACGTGGAAGCCAGCTGGATATATGGTATATATGGCTTAATGATTTTATTATTTGGTGTATTTTTCGGTCCTTTAATAGACAATTTAGGCATTAGATATTCCCTTTTATTGGGTAGCGCTACTTCTTTTTTTGCTCGTTTTACCCTTGTGTTCGCCACCGACACCACCACTCTTTTTGCAACTTTGTTGTTTCTTCTTCCTATTGGAGTTTCAATGACAAGTAATGTATTAAAATTGGCTGTCCGTCGGTACACCTCAATAACGACTCGTTCTTTTGCCTTTGACGGCTCGTAAGTCTTACAAATTCCCTTTTTTCTTACTTTTCCTTGCATGCAATTTAATGCTCTTTTCCCCTTTTTTTCAGCTATTTAGTCGTAAATTCAGCTGCATTAAGTTCTGCTGTTCTTCTTACAGCAACAAGGACTATGGTACCTGACTACGGACAACCTTATCGTCCTTATTTGTTGCTAGCTGCGCTACCTGGTCTATTACAATTCTTTCTTTGCTTCTTCTTACGCGAATTAGATGTTTCTTCTTCTTCTCTTGTTCCTTATAATCATCTACAAGGAGATTACTATATGGGCCCTAATTTTGTCCTATTACCCTCAACAGTAATTAATATATTTATTTATTTATTTATTTATATATTTATTTCCTTTTCTTCTTCTTTTTTTTCTTTTTTTCCTTTATAGGTATTTAAACAAGTCTTTTCTTCTCCTCGTCTTTGGCGATTTCTTGCTATCTCTACACTTGTATGGGCAGGTAAATAAATAAATAAATAAATAAATAAATAAATAAATAAATAAATAAATAAATAATACTAAGAATAATAATATATTAATTGTCTTGTTTATATATCTGTTAATATATATTACATTTATATTAATTAATTAGTATATAATAATATTAATTTTCTTTATATATACTTTTTTTTTATTTATTTTTTATTGTCTTTCTTATTAATAATAGGCACTGGTAGTATATTAAGGTAAGGAATTTTATGCTCTCTTTTCTTTCTTTTTTTTTCTTTATCTGCAGCAACAATATGCATGCATGCATGCATGCAAATGCATGCATGCATGCAATTGCATGCATTTGCATGCAGACACTTTGGGAGTACATTTCCTAAGACATTTACAAGATGTAAGTAAATATTAATTATATTTATTTACTTATATTTATTTATTTATTTATTTTTCTTTTTTTTTATTATTATAATTATAATTGGGGTGTATATACAGCTACCTCCTCCTCTGTCCCCTTTGAGCTCGTCCTATCAGGGAATCCTTTAGTGATTACTTCTTTTCTTCCTTTTGCTTCTCCTTCTTTGCATGCATATAAATGTGATCCTTATCATCTTATTACATGGGTACGTTCCTCCTCTATATGTATATTATACACATATATATATTTATTTATTTTATTTATTTATTTATTTATTTATTTATTTATTTATTTATTTATTTGGGTATAAGAGCATTGTTTACCTCTGTTGTGTCCTTAGGGTTGTCTTATATCCGCCTTGTCTATGTTTGTATTGGTAAGTTTTATTTATTTAATTAAATTAAATTAATTAAATTAATTAAGCTAAATAAATAAATAAATAAATAAAATAAAATAAATAAATAAATAAATATACAGAGTTCTTTTCCTTCTGTTGTTGGTGCTGTTGTTGGTGTTGTTCTCTTTACTATAGGAGAGATTATATGGGCACCAAGACTATTAGAGTTATCTGTAGTTGTACGTCTTTTTATTTATTTATTTATTTATTTATTTATTTATTTTATTTATTTATTTTATTTGTTTTTTCTTCCTTTCTTCCTTAATAATGTGTATTTCTTATTGTTTAGGTTGGTGAGGAAGGAAGAGAAGGAACAGGTAACCCATTAAAGAATAAATAAACTAAATAAATAAATAAATAAATTAATTAATTAAATTAAATAAATAAATTAATAAATTAAATTATTTATTTTTTTGTTGTATAGCAATGGCTCTTTCTGCTATTCCTCGTTATATAGCGAGGTTACTAGCAGGAGCATCATCAGGATATTTACTACAACAATTCTGTAAGAAAATATTTATTTTATTTATTTATTTATTTTATTTATTTTTATTTATTTATTTATTTATTTATTTATTTTTCTTCTTTTTTTCTTTTTATTTACAGGTAGTGACGCTGGTCATTGTCAAGATGTTGGTGCTGTATGGCGACGAGTAGGAGGATTTGCCTGTCAGTATTTATTTATTTATTTATTTATTTAATTATGTAAATTAATATAAATAAATGTAAATAATAGCAAATTAATTAATAAATTAATATAAATAACCTAATTCACCAATCAATATACATTTATCCAATAATTAACAGAAAAAAATAACAAAAAAGATGAATAATAATATTTCTTTTTTTTTTTAGTGTTAACACCAATCGCTCTTGTTGCATTTAAACCTTATTTATATATTTGTAAGAAAATAAATCATCCTTTTCTTTTTTCTTCTTTCTCTTCCTCTTTTTTCTCCCTCTTTCTTCTTTTTTCTTTTAATTGAGGTGTATATACAGCTCAAGATAATGAGGAGGAAAGAGTAAAGTTACAAGATGAGACACTTTTATCAATGAATTGTCCTGAAGGACTATAAACAAAATAAAAAAGAAAGGAAATAAAATAAAAAAAGAAGAGGGAAAAAAGAGTTAAATAAAGGAAAACAAAAAAGAAAAGAAGAAGAAAAATAAAAGAGAAAAAGAGTTAATAAAAGGACATAAGGAAGAAAAGAAAATATAATAAAGAAAGAAGAAATAAAATAAAAAGAAAGAGAGAGGGAGAATAACAACAAACCCCTCAACAACAAACGGGAAATTCTGCTATATTTGCTGCTGCTGCTGTTGCAGCAGCAGCAGCAGCAGCAGCAAATGCTAGATGGAGCAGCAGCAAGTTTGCTGCCGCTGCAGCGGTAAGAAACAAGAATATGGAGCAGCAGCAACTGTTGCTGCTCCTGCAGCAACAGCAACAGCAGCAGCAGCAACTGCTGCTGCTGCTGCTGTTGGACACCCAAAGAAGGTGTCCTTTAGGCTAAAAATTATATATTTACATTTTTATTTATTTATTTATTTATATTTATTTATTTATTTATGTTTATTTATATTTATAATTTAATTTATATTTATATTTATATATAAATATAAAAATATAATTAATTTCTTTCTCCTCCCGCTGCCTCTTGTAATTGTTTCCCTAAAGAACTGTGTACGGCTGTATACTGCACACAGAAAAAAAAGAAGAAAAAAAAAAGGAAAGAAATAACAAGTATGCCTCTTATTATTATTTATTATATATTATTTATTACTTATTATTATTTATTTATTATATAAAAAGAAAAAGGAATAAAAAGACTTACTTTATTAACACATCTATCTATACAATTACTTTCTCCTGCCTCTAAATATTCATTCTTTACTCCCGCTATACAACGAGACCAACAAGCATCCTGCATCCTATAAGAAAAAAAAAAAAAAGAAGAAAAAAAGAAGAAAATATAAATTATATTCTTCTTATTTTATTGTTTTATTATTTTGTACTTTATTGTCTTAAGACATAACAAGAAAAATAATTATTGTATATATATAATATATATATTATATGTATGTATTCTTAAACCCTAGTAGAAATATATATTTATATCTTTATCTTGTGTGTGTAGAGAAATATAAATAATTAAATATAATTATTAATTATTTAATTATTATTAAATAAAAAAAAAAGGAAAAAAAAAAGAAAAAAAATATATTATTTACCTTCTGTACATATCGCTTAGTCCCAATAATTCAACAACTGCAAGTTGTACAGGATCAGCAGTACCATCTGTCGCCATTTTTGTGTATTTTTTGTTAATAAAATTAAAAAAAAGAATGAAAAAAAAGAAAATTAAATAAAAAGTGTCAGAAAAAGGAAGAAAAAAGGAAAAAAAGAAAAAAAAATAATTATATTATATATGCGGGGCTTGAAGCCCCGTGGGGTCCTCCTTCTTATTGGTATTATTTGTCAAGAAAAAAAAAAAGCAGAAAAAAAGAAGAAAAAAAGAAGAAAATTAATTCTTTTTATTCTTTTTATTTTATTTTATTCCTTTTAAATAAAGAAACAAATAAATACATTTCTTTGGTGCATCTTTTTCTTTTTTTCTTCTGCATGCAGTAATAATTCTGTTTCTTATTGAAGAGTTATTATTCAATTTCTTTTCTTCCCTTTCTTCTTCTTCTTGTTTTCTTCGTTTTTCTTCTCTTTCTTCTTTTATTTTATTTTTATTTTATTTTTTATTCATTAGATTTACATTTAAGGAGAGGTTTTTATTCGTTTTCCTTCTTGAATCGAGGGAGTTCTTCTCCCCTCCCACCTCACCTAATTGAGGTGTATATACACCTCAATTAAACCTCTTTATGCCTTCTATTCATCATTTATTATTTATTTTATTATTTAAATAAAGATGGATAAGGCACAAAAAAAGGCAAAACATCGTCTTTCTTCTGTTGATAAAGAAGAAGATACAACAAAAATAAAGAAAACAAAAACAAAAACAAAAATAAATGATGAAGTAATTTCTTCTAAAGCAGCAGCAGCAGCAGCAGCAGCAGCAACTGCTGCTGCTGCTACTTCTTTATCAAGTCATACTATTGATAAGAAGGAGAAGAAGAAGAAAGCAGCAGCAGCTGCGGCTGCAGCAGAAGCAGCAACAGTTGCACCGGAAGCAGCAACAGCAGCAACAGAAGTTTCTTCTTCTCATAAGAAGAAGCAAAAAGAACATAAAACCCATACCTCTGCTGCAGAGGAGAGCAGCAAAAAGAATAAAAAGAATAAACATACTGCAGCAACAGCAACAGCAGCAACAGAAGCAGCAGAATCTGCCGAGATCCCTGCAGCAGCAGAAGCATCATCATCATCATCATCAGCAGCAGCAGCAGCAACAGAAGAGAATACGGATATAAAGAAGAAAAGGAAACATAAAAGTAATAAAGAAAAAGAAGAACAAGAACAAGAACAAGACCAAGAAGAACAAGAAGAAGAAAAGAAGAATAAGAAGAGAAAGAAAGAGAAGGAGGAAATAATAATAAATAAGAAGAGAATAAGAAGAAAAGAAGAAAAGAAAGAAGAAAAAGGAGGAGTAGTATATGTTGGACATTTACCTGATGGATTTATGGAGAAAGAATTATATTTATTTTTTATTCAATTTGGTGAATTAAAAGGAATAAAATTAATTCGTAGTAATAAGACAGGAAGGAGCAAAGGTTATGCATTTATTTATTATATATATAAACAAATAGCTATTATTGTTGCAGATACTATGAATAATTATAGATTATTTGGTCATACATTAGTATGTAAATATATACCTTATAATAATAATAATATTATTAATCCTTATTTATTTAATTATTATAAATATAATAAAAAAAATAAATCTAATAATAAACATCTTATTATTGGACCTTATAGACAAGTATTAAGGGCAAGAAAAGAAGCAAAAAAACATAATAAACCTGATGGATATATACCTACAGCTAGAGGTATTGCATCTATACAACAAAAAATTAAGAAAAAAATCGCTAAACTTAAGGAATTAGATATAGATTATGATTATTCTCCTCTTATTAATAATAATAATAATAATAAGGATAAGGATAATAAGGATAAGGATAGTAATAATAATAATAATGGATATCTTAATGAATGGATAAAAAAAGAAAGAGAAGAAAAAAAACTACAAATAAACAAACAAGAAAATAACAAAAATAAAATTAATCAAGAAAAAAATAAAAAAATTAAACATTAATTTGTTGTAAATTCAGGTGTACGTACACCTCAATATTATAAACTGCCGCTGCTCTTTTTCTTTTTCTTCCTTCTTTCTCTCTCTAAATTAAATAACAAATATATTAATAATATATATATATATATATATATTATTTTATATATATATTTGTTTAATTTATTTTATGTTATTTTATAATCTTTATGGCAGAAGCAGCAAGCAAAAGGAAGAAAAAAAAATCTTTTTTTTCCTTTTTCCTCCTTTTTTTGCAGTTTTTATTTCTTTTTTATTTTCTGCATGCAGATAAAAAAGAAATATTAATTGCAACTGCCTCTCTTCTTTGCCGCGCTTTAATTTATATATTTATTCTATTTGTTTATAAAAACCTTTATTTTATTTATATTATTTATAGTTTATATAATAAACTATTATTAATAGGTAGTAGATTTTATCTGTTTCTTATATAGACAGTAACGACTGTATAAAAATAGTAGGGATAGGCACTATTCTATTATTATTAGACAAGAATAAATAAATAAATAAATTAAATAAACTAAATAAGCAAATAACGTATATATATAGTAGTAGGGGTAATACTATAATGTACATTCATCTGTAGGTGTTGGTAAAGGAGATTTAGCTACTATAAAAAAGTATTATTTATGTTTATATAAGATGTTTTCCTTTTTATATTTAAATATGCGTGCATGCATGCATGCATGCATGCAGGTGTACATACACCAAAGTACAACAAAAAATCGAGTATTTATGGCGTTATTTCTTCTTTTATAGAGGAAGTTGTGCTTCTTCCTTATTTAACTAATTCATCTAATTAATTAAATAATTAGTTAATTTAATTAATTAATTAATTAATTAAATTAATTAAATTAGTTAATTTTCTTCCTCTTCTGCTGTCCAAAATCTCTGTGTCGCCAATTTGTATGTTTGTGGGCAAACGTAAGGCTTTAGCTGCAACAAACAAACAACAAATAAATATATAAATATAAGAAAGATGACAAAAAAGAAGAAAAAATAAATAAAAAAAGAAGAAAAATAAATAAAAATAAATAAAAAAGAATAAAAAACAGAAAGAAAAGGAAGAAAAAGAATTACCGGGAAATCTTTTAAATTGGCAAAATGAAATTTAGGAACTAACATAGAATTTATCAGAAAAAAACCTAAAAAGGAAAAAAAAAGAGAGGAAAAAAAGAAAAGTATAAATAAATAAATATTTATTTATTTATATTAAGAGATATTATTTATATTAAATAAATATATTTAATACAAATCTATTTGCAATTATTTGCTGCAGCTGAAAAATACAAAAAAAAAACAAATACTAAACTATGCCAATCCTTCGTCTTCGGCTACTGCATGCATGCATGTAGTAGAGGGATGTATGCAAGAATGCATGCATGCAGGAGTGCATGCATGCAGGAATGAATGCATGCAGGCATGCATGCTTTATGTGTACGAACCTTTTTTAGTGTGTCTTCCTAACCCAATAGCACCAAATCCCTTCTTAAAGCCTACAGGGGCATACTTTGCAATTAAGGGGCCTCTCCCTTTACTAGGCCCCATCTGCAGCAGCAGCAGCAGCAGCAAAAGCAGCCGCACAAAACTTCATGCATTAAAAGAAAAAGAGAAAATAAAGGCACAAGCGGAGGGAGGCGTTTGCTTTGATACAACATCGCTATATCATTTGCATACACTGTGCATGCATGCACAACTCTGCGCAACTCAACACAGTGCAGCATAATAGAAGACAATACGACATAAAACAACATAGAATATACATGCACAAGATACAACACAGAAAGAGTTAATTTAATGGAAGAACTCCTGAAACGGACCTTCGCGAGTCGAACGGAAGAAAGGCGAATGCAGGAAAAGGAGTTTGTAGGGGTCGTTTTCTGATTCTTCGTTGCATTTTCTGCATTTTCTTGAGGGGGAATTTGCTCGGAAATACCGCTAATTTTCGATTTAGATGAAGAAAATGAAGAAGATGAAGTGTCTAATCGTTTAAATAAGTTTAAATTGTTTAAAAGCTGCGGCTTTCCATCGGAAACACACACACGTGGATACCGTTGAAGAAACCCCATTCGTGAGGTGTACGTACACCTCAAGTTCTTGGTCGTGCAACTTTGCAGAAACTTCGCCACTAGAGGCCGCCAAGTTGAGCCGATGGGAAGAATCCGCGTTAAATACATCTTTTAATCATTATTTCATGAAAAACAAAAGAAATAATAATGATATTATTAATTAATTAAAGGTTTCCCTCTGCCTGTTTCGATGCATCGCAGGAACTCGAAACAAGAAACGGTAGCCTTGCAGTGGAAATACAACGAATTCAAGAAGAAACACACCCAAGTCCAACTCTAAATTTGAATATTTTGTGAATAAATAATTGCAAATCCACTTTTTTAGAAGGTTTTCCTTGGGGCTTTCCACCGCATGCAAATTCAGGAACTGGCTGAAATTTTGCGGCGCATGCAACAAATTTCCCCCCTTCAAGAGGGAACATCTCGTTAAAATGCAGAAATAAAGAATATTTTTACTCTTTTTCCTCTTTAAATGTGCTTGTCTGGAGGGAAAGATTTTTGTTGGATTGTTTTAAAGGGGCGTTTCTCTGCTCCTTCGACTTCGTCGTGAAGGAGCGGATCTTGCGGCCTTTTCTGCGGCGAGCCTTTTCCTTTTCTTACTTTGCAATTATTAATTTGTTCTATTCCTATTTTGTTTAGCCGGACTCTTCCCTAGTGCTTAAGATATCCCCAACAACAACAACAGGAGCGGCAGCGGCAGCGGTGTCCGCAGCAGCAGCACCAGCAGCAAAGGCTGCAGCACAGACACAGCAGCAGCACAAGCAGCACCACAAGCAGCAGCAGCAGGAGCAGGAGTTGTTCTGCAATGGCGGACCGTCCAAGCGGCACTCCTCCCTCTAGGGCAGATGATAAGAAATCACATTTATATTATGGCAAGATAACACAAACATCTGTTCCTGCTGCTGCTGCTGTGTTAGACGATG